AGAGGCTTTTGCATCTGAACTCTTCATCTGTATACTATTATATTTATTTATTAATATTTTGAGTTAGATTTTATTTTTACATTTCCAGTTTTCATTTTAGCTTAAAGGGACAATGTAGGAATTTCTCCCACCTAGCGGTTAAAATGTGTTTTGCATTCAAACGAATTGTGCTCTGCAGTGCCTCCCTTTTTCAAATGTGTGTTGCTTCTACAGTAGCCATTATGTACCAAAAAGCTATGACGGGATGTCTTCTAATGTCTTCCTTTGGCTGAACAGGTTAGTTAATTACAAACAGCAACTGGACACAACGAACAAAACAAATTATTGCCTACGGTATGAATTACTGACTGTGAAAAACATGAACTATTATAATTAGTTATGCCTTCTTTATTCGTTATATCTTCTGAAGTACGTACATTGCTGGATATCATCATCAACTTTTAAATATAAATGTTCATCTGTCTATAAAATAAAGTACACAACCAAACAATGGAAAAAAAGAAGCTTGTAATTAAGACTATTGACTTATCTGTCGAGAAGAAAGCAGGCAACTTCAGCGTCTCTTTTGAAACATTTCTCCTGCATTAGCTCTATCCACCTGGAAAAAGCTATCCCGACATTAACTCGTGTTTTTTTTATAATCTCCGGTCACGTTTCCTTTTATGATCTATTTTGGACTTTTCTGGCGACGATGATTTGCAATGCAGCCTTTTAAACTTGCTGGGACAGTGACAAGCACCTCTCACTGCTCTGCTCCTCCATTTCTGCTGCTTTCAGTTACGTGACGCTGGCTCTGAACGAAAACTCTGGCCTAGTACTTTTTGTCCCTCTCTGCTATTGTTGTTTCAAGATGGCGGAACTACATGGAAGCCTCCGTGGATCTACCCGTCCCATGTATATAATATAATATATAAGATAATCAATTCTTAGTTTAAAAGGATAAGTCAGATAATTGGCAGAGGTATTTGTACACCATTGAGGACATATTTATGAATAAAAATATTGATGTTATATAATAAAATACATAAAAAGTGCACATTGTCCCTTTAAGTTTTAGTAATTTAGTTTTGTTCATTTTTCATTTTATTTATATTTATCCATTCTGTTCTTTAGCCTTTGAATTTTAATTTAGTCATGCACTGACTGACATGTGGGAAAGTAGAAAAGACTTTTCTATCAGACTGTTCATCAAGCAGATCTGTATATAGAAGAACATTTTTTTTCTGTTCTGTGTATTCCCATGTCAAGAATGTGACCAAGACAACATTCTGTAACGTGAATGTTACGTGCTGCTTACTCAAACTCAAAAAGTATGATTATGTGTTTGATATTATTGACAGGTAATTTGTCAAAGACAAAGAAGGTATTCCAGTAATTGTTTACCTGTTTTGTTTCCTAGTGTGGTGAAGCCGTGTGACGGCTTTGGTATGTGGCCAATGACCTATCGCCATTGGACTATATAAACTTGTCGTTCATGCCTCTTAGAGTGCGTCCTGGTCGAAAGCCTGCCCCTTTTTGCATTGTTGCTATGTACTACTGAGTGTGCCGTTGGGTTACTGAGAGTTTGGGCGTGTGGAGGCTGCTTGCTCCCAGCCCTATGTTTGCTCAAACTTTTTTTATTAATCCAAATGATATTACAACACAATAGATTACAAATTATTAACACTTTTCTTTTTTCACCTAAAAACTAAACAATAAATAAATAAAAAGAAAAATAATAAGTAAAAGAAAAATCTATACACACACACACACATATATATATACACACATACATACATATACACACACATACAAGAAAATGCACATAAAAAATGATAGTGATATAAGTAGATAATAAAAAATACATGCATACGTATACACTTACTTACTCATACCTAAATACACATTATACATACATACATATATATATATATATATATATATATATATATATATATATATATACATATATATGAGTGCGCACACACACATTTAATCATGTATTAACCAGGAGGTAGGGTTTTAAGAGATTTAAAGCTATAAAGGGATGCCATTTACTGAAGAAGTTGCTCTTACGAGAACTTCTAACTTTTTCCAGTTTCAGAAAAAACATACTATCCACTAACCATTGGGAGGTTGCTGGAGGCTTATTAGATTTCCAGTGGAGCAAAATACGGCGTCTAGCTAGCAAGGAGGTAAAAGATATAACATCCAGTTGTTTGGAATTTAACTGAAACCAGATTTTTGGTACACCAAAGATTGCTATGGTGGTGCAAACATCAATTCTAATTTTTGGCACTTTAGACATAGTTGTAAAATAACTGACCCAATAATTTTGCAACATAGGACAAGTAAAAAACATATGACTCAAATTGCACAAAGGTGCATGACATCTGTCTTATCTGTCTTCAACATTGGGAAATATTTCCGATAGCCTGGCCTTAGAAAAATTAATTCTGTATAGTACTTTAAATTGTATGAGGCCAAGACGTGTACAAATTTTAGAGCGTATTCTGTCCAGAGCGCCTGCCCACCAATCCTCTTCAAAACTTTCCCACAACTCCCCCTCTCACGCTCTTTTAATTCTGTCAATAGAACAATCACTTAGACCTAAAAGACAACCATACATTTTTGAAATTTGTGACTTGTGATACGGATTGAGTTGCAGAAACTCTTCCCAAACTAGCAACGGGGGCAGATATGGGAACCTAGAAAATAAGGTTGCAGAACAGTGTCTAATCTGCAAGAAACGATACAAGTGGGACTCTAACAACTCCAAATCAGAGGTTAACTGACATAACTACAAAACGTACCATCTCTATACAGGTCCCGGAAACATCTCAAGCCTTTTGCATGCCACTGCTTAAATACAGGATCAGAGAGAGATGGAGGAAATTTTCCAATAGTGGCATCAATGTTGAGGCAGAATTGAATTTAAAGTGTCGCCTAAATTGGCACCAGATACGAAGTGTAGATACATCAATTGGATTATGAGTCAATGATGCCGAAGGGACATTACAGGATAAGGGTGAAGTAAGCAAAGCCAATGGAGAGGTAGATATACACAAATTTACTTCCAATCTGCACCATGTTGTAGTGGACGAACTAAGCCAAAATGTTATCTTGTGAATATTTACTGACCAGTAGTAAAACATAAAATTAGGTAAGGAGAGTCCACCATTCAGATGGCATCTTTGAAGCAACGATTTCCGAATTCGGGGCACTTTACCACCCCACAAAAAGTCAGTCACAGTCAATAGATTTAAAAAACTTTTTAGGAAGAAACAAAGGAATGCACTGAAAAGCAAAAAGAAACTTAGGCAGCCCTATGTGTCAGTATGGTTTGCCGTCAGGGCTTCCCTTGTTGTGGCATCGTAGTTTGAGTGGTCGGAGCATCAACTGTTGCAGTCAACAAGGCTGCTGAATAATTGTCTTTATGGTATGTCGTCGAAGTGTTACTCTATTGTATCCTCGGGTCTTTATGGACGCTAAGTGGTTCTCAGACCCTGTGAAGACTTAATGGGAATTTTGGTTATTTTATATATATATTTTTTTGGCTTTGTGCAGGACACCTGTTACTTGTTGATTTTAAATAACTGTTGGCCAACTTTAGCTTAATAAAAGAAAATACTTTTGTACGGGAACAACCCATGCCTCTTGCCTTTCTTGGTGAAACGTATTTGTGTGCTTTATTTGGGTTGTATTTTCCCTGTTAACCTGGGGTGGCATAGTTACTAAAAATTGAAGCACCTACTACATGTGGCGTAGTCGGCAAGGTTCACAGGATATTTGGCAGAGGCGTGGGACCGTATAGTAATTGGTGTTGTACATGTTTGTATTGTGCTTTCTTCTTCTTTTTTTTTACAGGAACAAAGCAGCAGCGTGTGCTCTGGAGACGGTAGTTTCTGACTAGGCATTGTATATAAAAAAAAGATAAATATATTTCATTTTCTCTCCCTGTCTCTCGCTCTTTAAGCCATGCTGCTGCTTTTGGCATCCAGTTATGTTTAAGTTACACATGCCCATGCGGGCTGAAAGTTTTTTTTTTTGTTTGTGTGTGTGTATTGCAGTTGACTTGGTGTTTGGTATGAGTCTCTGCAGTTGTGGCTGTGTATTTATTTATTTGTTGTTGTTTTTTTTAATGTGAGTGTTTATAGTTTTCATACTTTGTTAATTTTGGGTACATTGTAAATTATTTGTCTGCATTTAGTGATCACATTGAATGTGTTTATTTTCTTCATTTAATTTGTTTGGTTTGTTAATTATATGATTTTCTTTTTTGTTCCTTTAGGAGCTGAGGACTTCCTGGAGCGGGCTGGTTGTCTGTTTCATTACGGCCGGGCTTTGTTTCACATAGGGTGTCCTTATTGCAGTGTCATCATTGCCGTGTTATCACTTTTGTAGTTTGCAGTGAACTTCGTGGGTGTGATTTGGATTGGTGTGTTGTCTATTGTAGACTTGCTGCAATTACACTAGCCTGCTCCCTATAAGAGGCCTCAGCCCCTGTGAAGACTTGGTTATTTATTTATTTATTTTGGTTTTGTTTAATTTTGACCAGGACACCTGTTACTTGTTGATTTTAAATAACTGTTGACCAACTTTTAGCTAAACAAAAGAAAATACTTTTGTATTTGGGAACCCATGCCTCTTGCCTTTCTTGGTGAAACATTTGTGTGCTTTATTTGGGTTGTATTTTCCTTGTTAACCTGGGGTGGCGTAGTCAATAAAAAATTTAGCCACTTAGTCTACTTAGGGCCTACACTAGTAAGTGTAAAATATAAGTCAAAGTTTACACCTTTCAGGAATTGATACAAACATATTTTTTTATAATTAAAACTTGTTTAAAATTACCATCACATCTACATAATAACATTAGATGAAGATGCTATTGCTTCATCTTCTAATGTATTATTTTCAATTCGTATTATTATTATTATTAGTTGTTGTAGTAGGCTAATATCAATATTTATTTTTTTGCCACTTTTTGGTTGTATTGTGTTTAGAGTAATCATTAGAATAACGTATGCTACTTTATAATTTACAAATAAAAACGAATCAGGCAACTTCAAAGACAGCCTGGTGCTTACTAGGAGCAAAGAAGGCCCTTCATGGGTCCTGCCGTTGCTTAGAAACGCGTTGTTGTCGTCGTGCATGTTCACAGTGAATTTTCTGAAAACAAACCGAGATTTTTCATCACAAATTAGTGATGCTTTCCCGTCTATAATCAAGCCGTGATTGCGAACAATTTACGACGAGCCCTAAATATATCCGCCGAAGATTGTAAAACAATATGCTGCCGTAAAAATGTATTTAGGGTAGTTAGTTAGATAGCGTGGGTAACAATCAAGCTAATCTGCTAATTAACTTTAGTCAGATAGCCAAAGCAATAACACTGTCGGGTTGTGGAATGTAAAGTTACCATTTGCGGTGTATTTTACGAATTATTGTTTGAAAAGATTAATTAAACGATATCCATAGAGTTAGAAAGCGTGTGATGGAGTAAAACAGTGGTAAGCTGTCATCTAATCCCGCTGTATTAAGAGGCTCAGAGTTTAAACTCCTGCTTCTGCTTCTCTAGTCTCGCAATGGACGCAGGAGGCATTTCTGATCTGGACCTGGAGAAATATGACGCTGATGAGCAAGTCAAGATCATCTGCCTCGGAGACAGCGCTGTTGGCAAATCCAAGTAGCTATGCTTAATGTGGTTCTGACATTAATGGAGTAACGTTAGCTGTGTTATTGCAATTTTATTCAGTGACAATGACATTTGAAAAAATTGCATTTTTTAATAATGGTTTTAATATCTTTTCAGGCTTATGGAGAGATTCCTTATGGATGGATAGTATCCTTTGACATCATTGTGTGTGTGTACACAGTATATTATTTATTGTTTGAATGTGTGCATGTGAGTGTGTATCATCCCCAAGATCTGCGTGATCTCTCTCTCTTTCTGTATGATTGTGAGTGTATTGTTCATTCTCAAAGTTGACAGGATCTTAATGAAATGTATCAGTCGGCCTCAGCAGCTGTCCACTTACGCTTTGACTCTCTACAAATACACCGCAACCATCAATGGGCAAACTATACTGGTTGGTAAGTTTGGCATCAAAAAAAGTGTTATTTTACTATACAAGAATGGAGCAATTTGCTGTATTTTATTTTTTTTGCAGTTTTATTATTGAGACATTGCACATTTTTGCACATAATTTACCTTTTTGAGGAAGTTTCATACACTTTTCATAAAGAATTAGAGCTGCATGATTCTGGATAAACCAAGGGTTCGTACACAACAATGATGTTCTAAAAACAGAGACGCAAAGGAAAACTTAATAAAATGGAGACAAAAAGGAAAACTTAAAACCGGAGACACAAAGGAAAAACTTAAAATTGGAGACACTTAAAAACTTAAAAAAAACTTAAAAACGGAGACAAAAAGGAAAAACGTAAAAACATAAAGTGTTTTTTTTCGCGTTCTGACAACAACGTTGTCACAGACAACAACACACACAGATCAGCGCGATAAAAACGCTGTATGTCAGGCCAGTAGTTGATAATGTCACTTTGTGAAAAACCACTATCACCTGTATGTTGAACACGTTATATGCATAGACATGCCATCGACATGTTAATTAATTCATGATTTGGAGTTTACATGGAGACTGCAAATTGCAAAAACTTGTCAGGGGACCTTTAAACTAAAATTGGACCAATCAGCTGTCTGCAAAGTGACATATGTCTTAAGTCACATGTCGTCGGTCACATATTTTGTAGTCAAAGACAAAGGAGATATTCCAGTTATTGTTTCTTGGTTTTGTTTCCTAGAAAGTGTAAAATTTAGGTCATAGTTTACATCTCCAGAAATGTATAAAAATGTTATTTAAAATTAAAAATGGTTTAAGATTATTTCACATCTAAATAATAACATTAGATGAATATGCTTTTGCTTCATCTTCTAATCTATTTTTTATATCTATTGTCTATTTGCTACTGATGTCACATTTTCATGTGTACACGCTTTATGAACTCAGGATCAAAGAGAAAGTTGATCAGTTCCATGGTACCAACAAAGCCTGATTGGATTGGCTTGAAAGATCTAAATGTTTGCTGTGATTTAGGAAAGATTGTGTTGGTGTTTGAATCGAGATCACAATCTTTTAACGATTAATCATGCAGTTTATAACACAAGGGGTTTTACTTTAGTTTTCATGTTTGATGAGCAGTCATGCCTTTGTCTATCCAACCTGAGCACTTATGCACTTGTTTAACTTCACCACAGATTTCTGGGATACTGCAGGGCAAGAACGTTTTCGAAGCATGCACCCATCTTACTACCATAAATCTCATGCCTGTATCATGGTAAGAGGTCACAAAATACTCTTAGTTTTACTTATTTATATACTATTAAGGTATTTATTAAAGGGGTCCCTTTTTCAACTTTAGTTAATGTGTAATGTTGCTCTTTGAGCATAAAAAAGATCTGCAATATTACAAAGTTCAAAGTCCACTCCAAAGGGAAATATTATATTTAACAGAATCCTCTTTTCAAACTACAACGAACCTTTGGACTACAACACGATTTCTCCGGATTCGATGAAGTCACAATGTTACTCATTTAAATAATCCCCACCCATGGAATATGCAAAAAAGGGGAAGAGGCCTGGCTGAGCTTGACCGTGTTGTTGCTGTCAAAGAGATGCGCTTTTTTCTCATTTATTTGACCTTCCTAAGGCTGACGAACTTAAAGTGGTTAACTTATTTTAAACACCGTTCTTTATAACCCCAACGTTTATCTGTGCGCTGCACATTTCATGGAGAACAGCTTGTTTTCTGTTGCTTTTGTAAGACATCTCTTTAAGAAAATGAATCATGGTTTTGGATCGATTACTGTTTGTATTAACTTAGTATTCAGACAAATATCATGATTAAAAAGTGGATAACATTTCATCTATAATGTATATTAAGAAAATTACAACAAAATACCACCACAACAAACACTATATTAGTGAGTGAAAAATAAGTTGTGGCTTTTTGTAACTGAAAACTATTTTGAATGCTTTTCATAAACAGTAGCTCTCAAAAAAAGCTTTCAGAAATAATCCAATTGCTTTTGCCAGGTGTTTGATGTCCAGAGGAAAATCACATATAAGAACCTCCCTAATTGGTACAAAGAACTCCGAGAGTACCGGCCTGAGATTCCATGTCTGGTAGTCGCTAACAAGATAGATGGTACATTTCATATGTCCTTTTTGAGATTACAGATAAGAGCATTATTAGTCAGAGTTAGTCTTTGCATGTCTCTAATCTTTTGTTCTTTTATGTCTTCTGCTGTTTCAAAGCTGACATGAAGGTGACCCAGAAGAGTTTCAACTTTGCTAAGAAACAAGGTCTTCCCTTCTACTTTGTATCTGCTGCTGATGGGACCAATGTGGTGAAGGTAAGAATGGAAAACAGAGCATTCTAGACAGACAGATCAACGGGTATCAGGGGAGCATTCGGTAAAAAAAACCTGCTATACATAGTTCCCACATGACGTCACAACATACAGGCATTTGCCGACCGGGCTTCATTGCTGAGGGCAGAACATTAGAAGAAGCAATACGAGTTAAACGAAGTGAAATGAGTTTCGTGCTATAAAGTGAAAATGGTCATCTCCTGCTGGGTCAATGGATGTTAAAATCGTGCCGGAGGTTCAGTTAAATTGGAATTTTACAGTATACCCGTCATTAGACTCCATGAATGTGAGAAGACTAAGCTTTTGTCCGAACAACGACAGAGGTTATGGCTGGCTAAACAGGATAAACAAGAAAAAAAACTCGCTCAAAACACACAAGAATTTGTTTGACAAAAGCACAATGTTGTGTTTTATTGCGAGTGTAAACAAATATAAGTTAACACTTGAATAATGTCCTGTATGAACAAAATGATGAGGTATTAAAAACATACAAAACAACATTGTTTCCACTGTTCGCTCACACACACACACAAACATTCCAGCATTGCAATCTCAGATTATGTCCCTAAAGAACCCGCGTATAAAGTAGTTCCGCATTACATTAATTAATTTGCACGTGAGTTATTTATTTTTATATTCATGCACCGAACCATGACGCCCGCACCGGTTTGTTTCAATACATGTACCGTTCCACCCCTATTCTTCAGTGTACAAATAAGTACATGCATATTACAGAAAGCACCGGTGACTGTTTTAAGGGGAACATAGGAATTAAGTTGTGCAGGCTATGGCTTTTTAATAGATACATAGTCTATCTAGCATCATGCTACTTTGCTATGATGACTTTTTCATGTTACTTTTCCATTGATTGCACTTGAGCAAACGTCACCAATCCAACCCTCGGCAATCTGATTGTACGCCTCTAGTGATTTCCAGGCTCGGAATTGCTCACGTGTAAAAACTCCTACCCAAGAAAATACTGTATCTGAGGCAAAGCTGCATAATCGTGCTCAGTGCCACACCAGTTATGAATGAAATTTTCGCATTGTACCTTCTCTCTGTCTTGTTTTAATAGTCTCTTCTTTATAATCTATTTCACTTTGTCTCTTCATAATTTGCGTAACATTATAAACCGAAATAAATATTTGTTTGTAAAACGACATTCTCTGATAAAACTTTGTAAACACCTATGGTAAACACAGCAGCTTATGCCCTCAAAGATGGCATCTCAGGGGTGGTCACGTGACATTAATTTGCCTGTGGGAACTATGTATAGCATACTGAACTCTCAGAATTTTAAAAAGTAGATTTCACAGTTGTTTTGCTGGGATGAAATGGTATGCATCTTATAATATAAATTATAAACCCTACATTTGTCATGTTAAGCAAAAAAATAATAAGCACTTATTTTTTAAAATTGTATAATTTGCAGATCCATAATTTGGATCTATGTGCCTTTTTACACCTGGTCACTTGATGCGTTTTTACTGATCGGATAGCTTTCTGATTTGTTAAAACGGTTCCATTTACACTTGGCCACACAAATATGTCCGATCTTCAAAAAAATATAAATCCGATCTTCAAAAAAATAAAAAAATAAAATAAATTCCCGTGCTAAATTCAAATTTAACAGAGTTCAAGTCAACATAAGCAACAGATATGAGCTGCATTTTATTTATTATCAGCTAATATCAAGATCAAAAACCACAATAGGAGAGAGAGTGCATCAGCACTGGTAAGATAATTTAGTTTCACTACTTTTAATGAAGTCTGGGACTTTTAAGTAAGTCTGGGACTTACTTTCAGCTTTATTTGTGGTAGTTTGCACGTTGACTTGGTGAAGAGAAACTCAGCTACTCATCTGCAGTTATTCGTGTTGTTATAGCTGCTAGCGTTGTCATTTCTGGCTATTTTCGGTTATTTACCAAATTTCGGTTATTTTTCAAAGTTTACATACTGTATGTGGTTTCAAAAACCAGATGCATTTACACTTGTCCTGTTCAGTGATTTGATTTAAATTTGTCTTGAAAGCATTTTGGAGGGCAGTTACACCTGGCTTTTGCTCGTTCGGACCGCTACCTGATCAAAGAAAACACATGAAGTGACCAGGGACTTGTGTAGAAGTCTTTATGTGTTCTAGGGTTAAAAGGAAGTCCTTGGTCCTGCTGTGTAAAGTTCTAATGTTTTGGGAATGTTCCACAGGTGTTTAAAGATGCCATTCAGATGGCTCTGTCCTACAAGAAGAACTCCAACGACTTTATGGATGAAGTTATGAGGGAGTTAGAGGTGTGTGTGTGTGTTTGAATAACACTCTTCATGATGATGCAATTTACTGATTATATTCATGTTATTTTGCAGAACTTTGATTTAGAGAATAAAGAAGAAACATCTGATAAAGAAGAGGAGACTCAAGAGGGAAAACCAGACTCCGCGTGACCACGTCAGATTCTTCATCCTCTTTTCTCATTCTCCGCTGCTTCTGGAGTTGTACTGATGAGTTCCTTAAATCATGGCTGTCCTCTCACTGTCCTGAGAACTCTACCTCACACACACTAGTGTGTGTCTTTTTGAACCTCTAATATGAATTATGGTTCTGTGAATGTACAGGTGGCATTATCCAATGATCAACACCAATGGAATCACAGTTATGAACTGCTGAACTAATTTGATACAAATTGTGCAGCATTCAGATTTAGCAAAACACCTTTTTAGTTATCTCTTTATGGAATGTGAAGCTTTGTCTGTGCCGAATGTAATATAAACATATACATTGCTTGTTATTTTTTTCCAGCTGGAATTTATATATTTAGGTGAAATATTTATAATTTTTTTTAAAAAACAGAAACACATTTTGTGTAACAATTTGTGATGCTCATCAGCATGAATAAAGTAGTTGATCTTTGAATAAGGGTAGCTGATTATACAAGATCAAGTATTTAATAAATACATGCAGTTTTAACTGCAGTTTTTAGGTTTCATCATGTAAAACTAGTACACTTAAATCTGCAGGACTGTTTGGATTGCAAAGAAGTTAAGGGATTTAAATTGTGAAAAAGCCAAAATGGCTATCAGTCACACCTGAAATACACTCATTCCCCTTAAACTTGATGGAAAAAAGTTTATATCCATTTTATTTGCCAACTAAAGAGTGTATATATATATATTAAAGAGATTTGTTGCAAGCATACCTGAGAGTAGGATACACTATTTTGGGAATTAATGAGAAGACAGCCATGATGAAAACTCAAACATATGAATGTGTTTGTGTGGATGTGATGGTCAGGGCAAAGAAGAGAGCTGAGACTGCTCTGAATGCTCACTGACGTTTACACACTGTCAACTTACAGTCAATCGCTATTGACTTTTGTTTTAGAATGAGGATGAATGGCAGATTACAACACAAATTCAACACAAAAGTTTGGCTGACAGGCAGTCTGACCAATCGAAACGCCGAATCCACCATTTTGTCAGACAAACAGACCAGACAGAGTTAGTAGTTTAACATCGGTGAACTTGAATTTAAACAATTGTGTGTATTGATGTCTTTCCGTGGTTGAAACGACATACGCCTTCTGATGTTCATTCATGCTATAACTAATAGGAAGAGATTTTTGGTTCACGTGCCACTTGAAATGTGGCGCTACAGCGATCTGTCATAACACAAAGAGCCACAACACCGGTATTTATTGTTTGAATAAAAAAAAGACAAAATTTGAAAGCTGAGACTGTTTCATAAAACATATGATCGGCGCATTGTCAGTGTCCTTTTTGCCCCGCAATATATATTTCTTTGGATGCGAATTAGTTGACGTTTACAAGAGAATTAGCTGAAACAATTCAGCTAATCAAAAATGTATACGTTTTACATCTGTAAGAGAGGCGTGCACACATTTTTTGTGCGTACGTGTGATTCAGAGTACAAACGTCCGGAGCAAAGTTAACATTTATGTCCTCGCAAGTTGCAACATTTCATGGTTAAAATTCATACAAATTTTACCAACTGCCGATTGACATTGTTTCAAAAACTCGCCAACTCCGATTGTTACTTGCATTTGGTGCTTGTTAATTTTAGGCCCTGGTTATGTTGCAACTTGGAAACAAATCACAACACACCATCCATCTCCACTTTGATTACTGATTGTAAATTATTTCAATTTTAAATAATTTGTAATAATAGTAGTATATTCTCTACTAGCAATGTATGCTGATTTAAAAAAAAATTGTAAATGGATATAATGTTTGTCATTATTGTACTGTAGTTACAGTGAGTGGGGATCCTTCAAAAAAGAAAAAAGTCCTAAAAATAGATCGATTTTGTCAGTTCTCTTTATTCTTTAATGACCCAGTTTCTTCATGCGTTTCCTCAGATATTATAAATAATAATTATTATTGTGAAGAGCAGTTATTCTTATTGCACAAACTTTGAAGGCACTTTTAGATTTTTGCTTTTGGTTTGTGTATTTTTGTGATTTTTGCACAAATGCTTTACACATCAACTATACATCCATGTTGGTGAATTAAAATAGATCCAGCCTTGAACTGGATACAACCTGTATATCATTAGAAAAAAAAAAAAAATCTTATTTCTGAAGACTCAGGTGTTTTTTCTTATTATAGGGTAGGAAGGGGGGGTTCACCTGCACCCGAAAGATATATTTTTTTAACCTAGTTTTTTGTAATCCTTAAGGTGTCTAGAAAAGGAATTTTGATGTTCCCCACACAAATTTTTGTCCCATATGTGATTTTTTGTATCATCTTTTGTGTCCGTGCTTGATTTTTGGCTGCGGAAAATGAAAACTTTAAACCTACATAGAATCTGAACAATACATCCTACAGACACAATCTACCCCATTTTCTCTTCGTCTTTGCATGAGGAATTGATAGATATGAGGATTGTCTTTATTAGATGATGTATAGTGCATAAAAACTCAAATAAACACCAAAAAATGTCAAAAAATGGTGACATTGGATCACTGGAACTCCTCCCCTATGGACCCTTCTGATATATGTTTTCTAACTTTTGTATTTTTACAGTCTTTAGGATGTCTAAGAAGCAAATGTTGATGATCCCCACCTGAAATATTGTCACATGTATGTATTTTCTGGCTATATTGGTTGCCACCCTGGATATCCAAAAAAGCACATAGGCAGTCTGTTTTTCTCCTTTAGTTTTCGATTTGATAAATCTCCTCCATTTTTCATAACTGGCTATGTAAATTATTGTTGAGCACATGTTGAGCTTGTTCCCAATGTTCACTTGTTGCACATTAAAAAATATAACATAGAAATTTTAATTAAATAATACATTTTAAGATACAACGTGTTCAAAAATATGCATTAATTAAAAATCACATCATGTAATTAGGATTCACTGGTAATGTGAGGTTTATTTAACATACATTTTTAAAATAACTACATAAATACATAGCCTACACCATGCACCAACACACAATTAGAAAGGTCTTTCTTGGTGAAGAGCATTTAGCGTTATGGAAGCCCACATTAACTGGCAGATAATGGTCTCTCCAGATTTCTGTTAAGTTGAAAAAAAAATGTTATGCTTAATAATTAATTAATTATACTTTCATTAGTATTATTATTACTACTGGTGAGGGAATGTGTTTCATCTCGAGTGGGACAATCTGAACAAAATAACAACAAACATTCATGGCTCAAATGTGGTGAACTGGACCGGTGGGATCATGATACAGGAGGTGAAACCTGAATTTGATGCCCCCAACTCTCTGGAAATTTCACGAATGCTCCCACTCTACGAGTGGAACAAGACGCGCTCCCTTATGGTAGATATACCTGAGACCCTAAATTCATCATCAAGTCATGATTAGATGATGTATAGTGCATAAACACTCAAATGAACACCAAAAAATGTAAAAATAAATTGTGACATTGGATCACTGGAACTCCTGTCCTCAGGACCCTATTGATATATGTTTTCTAACTTTTGTACTTTTACAGTCTTTATGATGTCTAAGAAGCAAATGTTGATGATCCCCACCTGAAACATGTTGGTCCAAATGAACATCTCCCATAATAAGTAGATACTATTCAAACCATTATATTGGTGTTATATTTATTGAAAAAAAAAAAAAAAAAACAGAAAACCACTCATATATTCAAATACTGTATGTGTAATGTATATATGAAGAGTTCAGATGCAAAAGCCTCTAAGTGCCATTTGAAATTTGGTTCTAGAATGACCATTTTTATCAAGCTTGTGTATTTAAGTTCAGTAATTTCACTTAAATGACCATTAATAGGTAATCTTCATTGCCATTTAAGTGAAATTACTGAACTTAAATATACAAGCTTGATAAAAATGATAATTTTAGAAGAAAATTTCAAATGGCACTTCGAGGCTTTTGCATCTGAACTCTTCATATAGGGTATAACAAATCCCCATTAGAATAAACTGAAATAGAAAAAAAGTGATTCTAATCAACCCCTCCTTGCACTGCCACCTTAACGTGGTGGAGGGGTTTGAGTACCCGAACGACCATATGAGCTATGTTGTCCGGGGCTATATGCCCCTGGTAGGGTCTCCCAAGGCAAACCGGTCCTAGGCGGGTCAGACCAAGAACGGTTTAAAAAAACCTTATGAGTGAAGTGAAAACAAGGACAGCCGGGGCCCCACCTTGGAGCCAGTATGTGAGCGCCTGGTGGCAGGGCCTCCCACACGGTGTCCGGCAGGGCTCAGTCCGAAGAAGCAACGTGGGGCCTCCTTCCCGTGGGCTCACCACCTTCAGGAGGGACCGTAAGGGGCCTGTGCTGAGAGCAGTGTTGGGTAAGTTACTCTACAAAAGTAATTAATTACTAGTTACTAATTACCTCTTCAACAGTGTAATTAGATTACTGTACTAATTACTGTCTCTAAAAAGTATCTAATTACTTTTAATTACTAATTACTTTCAAAATCCCATATCAATCTCAATCAGTTGAATAATACAAGGATAGACATGAATCTGTTTTAATTCTTTCAAATAAATACTATAAAATTGCATGAATTATCCTTCAACTGACCAAGGTGGAGAAGGTTACATTATAAAAACATACTTTTTAACATCAGACAACATATTTTGATGTTAAACCCACTATTGTTTTATGTCTGATCTCATGACATTTCACACTTTTTTCATACATATTTTACAATAATTCATACAAATTTGTACGAGTGCGGTCGTAATATTTAGACACCTCATAAAATGCATACGAATCGCTGTGAGATCGGATTGATCTATACACAGTATTTACCCCAATTACATCAGAAGTAACTGTAATTAAATTACAGATAAATGAAGAGTAATCCCTTACTTTACATTTTCAAGGGAAAAGTAATTAAATTACAGTAACTAATTACTTAGTAATTAGTTACACCCAACACTGGCTGAGAGGATCGGGCGGCAGTCGAAGGCGGGGGCCTCAACAACCCGATCCCTGGACATGGAAACTAGCTCTAGGGACAGAATGGCCCCCCTGACCTGAACCCGAGTAGTGTTCAGTTATTGGACTTCTGTGCTAGTCACAGTTTGTCCACAACGAACACCATCTTCAAGCAAAAGGGTGTCCATCAGTGCATGCAGCACCTGAACACCCTAGGGCGTAGGTCGATGATCGACTTTGTGGTCGTTTCATCTGACTGCAGCCAAATGTCTTGGACACTTGGGTGAAGAGAGGGGCAGAGCTGTCAACAGATCACAACCTGGTGGTGAGTTGGATCAGATGGCGGGAGAGGAAGCTAAACAGACTCGGCAGACCCAAGCGTACTGTAAGGGTCTGCTGGAAACGTTTGGCAGAGATCTTCAACTCCCACCTCTGGAGGAGCCTCGACCAGATCCCGAGGGAGGCTGTAGATATTGAGTCCGAGTGGACCATGTTCTCCACCTACATTGTCGAAGCGGCTGCTCAGAGTTGCAGCCGTAAGGTCTCCGGTGCCTATCGAGGCGGCAATCCCCGAACCCGGTGGTGGACACAGGAAGTAACTTTAAACGAACAAATTCGAATCGAAAGCAAATACCTTCGTCTGATTAAGCTATAGCTACAATCCGAAAAGTGCATTTCTCTGAGGTGCATCTGCTTTACAGCGGAGATGGAGATCGCCCGTCACTAGAAAACTGTTTATTTAAGCAATAAAAATCCATTGTTATTTTTCAGACACATTTATTATGATTAGCCTATAAATCACCTATAAATCATCTCTCTATGGTTCCAGAGACATGCCCTTCTCATTTAGCAATGCGGGCAAAATAGTTTTTAGAAAGTCTATTTTTTTTTCATATTAATTTGCAAATATTTTAAATGTTTAATAAAGGCAAAAAGTCATTGTTATTTATTTTTTGTGCACAAACTCTTGGACATGCGTCAAAATCTTGTGTTTATTTGTGATAATCTCAGCCCTGTATTATTGTCTAACCTGTATTATGACTGACATTTGACGAATTGCTTTGTTTCTTTTTTTGATAAAAGCGTCTTATCTGTAGCCTAAATGTAATAATAATAGCCTAATTATTATTATTAGGCCTATTATTTGCGTTTATAAATTTAAATGAGTTCAATTTAAGACAGGAATATGGTAATCATAAAACAATTTATGAATGTTTTATTATTATAGGCCTATAACTTTGTGTTAGGCCTATATTTATTTATTTTTTGAATGTGAAGTCCTTTTAAAAACAATGCATCCCGCATCTAAACAGGAGGCGTGGTTGAATCATGCGGCACACTCTGGGGGACGAGCCACAAATCCGTTAGTACGGATTACAAACCCGTGAGTACGGATTGCGAAAGCGTGGGTACGGTTTATGAATTTGTGGGTACAGATTGCAAAAACTGAGGGCACGGTTTACAAATCTGAGAGCACGGATAGGAACTCGTGGGTACGGTTTATTAATCCGTGGGCACGAATTGTTAAACCGAGGGAAAAGTTTAAGAATCCGTGAGTACAGTTTATAAACTGAGGGGACGGATTGCAAAACCATCGCCTCGGATTGTTTTTTTTTCCCCACAGGTGACTTCCCGGGCTCCGTATTTTCCAAAATGGACCAACGTGATTATGTCACGTCTTGTCGTGATACGGGTTGGGCACTGAAGTTGCAGGAGTTTCTTCCCGTTGCTAATGGAACTAGGTCGAGTATTTAAAAGGTTATGGTTAACACGCGTTAACGTGGTTTAACGTCGATGTAATACGTTCCTTTTGCTTAAACGAGGAGCTGGGGGACACCGGAAAAATAGACATTTACTCATTAGACTGCTTCATTAAAAACGTGACATTTAGACGTTTTCTTCGGCGTGGATCCAGGCAAATGAATCCTTTTCACCTTGAAAGTATATATATATATATATATATTGCATTTTAAATAATAGAACATTTCTCAGTGATCGTAAATAAAACAAAATTCCATTTTTCTCGGTTTAATGAAAACCTGACATCTACACATTTTCCAAAGTGGAATATTTAGGCTGCTTTACTAAAAATGTGACATTTAGACATTTGCTTCGGCGTGGATCCAGGCAAATGAATCCTTTTCACCTTGACAAATGTTTTTTTTTTTTTTTTTTTTTTTTGCATTTTAATAATAGAACATTTCTCAGTGATTGTAAATAAAACAAAATTCCATTTTCTCGGTTTAATGAAAACCGATAGGTCGTTATGGCAGAGGCGAATAACATCTGGATATCTCTCCACTGGAGCGTGTTAACGCAAACGTGTAAGTTTCACGTTTGAGGGGGTTAAACCGTGACATCTACACATTTTCCAAAGTGGACTATTTAGGCTGCTTCGGCGTGGATCGAGGCAATGAATCCTTTTCACCTTGAAAATAATAAATGTTTTTTGTATTTTAAATAATAGACCATTTCTCGGTGATCGTCAATAAAACAAAATTCAATTTTTCTCGGTTTAATGAAAACCAATAGGTTGTGATGGTAAGTTTCAGTTTAAGTGTAAGTTTCACGTTTGAGGGGGTTTAAACCGTGACATCTACACGTTTTCAAAAGTGGACCAACGTGATTATTTCACGTCTTGTCGTGATACCGGGTTGATAGGTATCACGACAAGACGTGAAATAATCGTCTGATATAATTATATAATTATATAAATAATTCTGATAGAGGGCCATGAGACTTAG